AGGGCTAAAATCCTGTGGGACTTCCAGATTCAGACAGGCAGGCAGGTACTGGCCAATCAACCAGACATCGTGATAGTAGACCAGAAGATAGCAGTGGTGATAGATGTATCAGTGCCAAGTGACAGCAACATCAGGAAGAAGGAGTATGAGAAGCTGGAGAAGTACCAAGGCCTGAAGGGGGAACTGGAGAGGATGTGGAGACTAAAGGCCAAAGTGGTCCTAGTGGTGGTAGGGGCTGTGACTTCTAAGCTGGGAGAATAGCTCCAAGAGGTCCCAGGAACAACATCAGAGCTCTCTGTACAGAAGAGTGGAGTGCTAGGAACAGCTAAGATACTGCACAGAACCCTCAAACTCCCAGGCCTCTGGTAGAGGACCCAAGATTGAGGAAGACACATACCACCCATAGGAGTGAATGGGGATTTTTTTTTTATACATGTGCACACACACACAGGCACATGCTATATAGAGAGAGAGAGAGAGAGAGAGAGAGAGAGAGAGAGAAAAGAGAGAGAAAAGAGAGAATTTCTATATATACTTTATCTTGCTCTCTGAATTTGATTATTTCTCTCTATTTGAAAATATGTATTTTATATGGGTGTTGGTAAGGGTTTTTTTTTTTTTGACATTTTTTCCAGTTGGCACCTGAACTGCAAACTTTGGAGAAGTTCCAAAGATAAGAACTGGCAATCATAGGTGTCTGATATAAACCACAACAATTTGAAAAATGATAAAACATATGACACAGAGTTGCAACCTCCCGCATTTTCATACTTGGGTACCAATGTAAGTCATAGGGTTTGCCTTGTGATATCACAATGCATGCTTTGTCATTTGTTTTCCTTTACCCTGCTGTAGATGTTTATGCTGGCAATATGGAACAGGTCAGTTTGCTTGAAATGTGAATTGAATTAACGTCTCAAGCATTCCTAACTAGGAAAAAGTTTAAGAAGACTTACTTGGCTTCTAGGGCTAGAGCAAAAATCCCCGCAGCTAAGGGAGCAGAAGCAGAAGTCCCTGTGTGAGTGGCCGTGCATTCATTATGAAGATCAGCACTTATCTGAAGGAAGTAGACATCATATAAAGGTTACACTTAGCATGACCATGCATAAAAGCATTCTTCTCCACGGGTTGCCTTGGAACATGTTGTCCTCTTCCAGATAAAATAAGAGTTGAAAACCCTCACCATCTATTCTGAGTACAATTTTTCTATTGAAATAGCTCATATTGAAAGAACATATGTAATGTCAAAGGACTTGCTTCATCATGAAATCCTAGTAGGATAAAAATAAGTGTTTCAGAATTACTGTTGAATCATAAAATGCATCACTGAAAAATGATTGCCAGATTAAAAATCACACAGGGGTTGATAGCAAATACTTTTCTTTCCCTTCTTCTCATTCTAACAAAGCACAGCACAGCACTGTAATTTGGAAAATGAAGCAAATGGCTTATTAGAAAGTGAAGTACCCTGCTTGGATAAAGTGCCTCACATTACTGCCTGCAAAATTACAATTTGTGGAAGTACAGAACTGAAATGTGTACATGTATGTATTTGAATGTAGTAGAATCTGTAGACCTTAGAAATAAAACATTGGAAATTTTGACCAATCATACTGGTTATTTTTATCCTTCCTTACATCTCTGTTTCTTAATAAAAGGCTAGAATTTACTGGAAGGAGATGATTCCCACCTCCACGTTTCACATACTGTATCTTGATTCAATGACAACCTAAGGGATCAGATGGAAGGTCAATAGTATGGTTATTTCCTGCCCTTTGATGAATCCAGGCAATTGTTTTACATTGATGAGTCTCTCAAAGATACCTGGCACTCCCATTAGAGGACATGAAGCAGCCACTTTGAACAGTGGACTGGGGTTGGGTGATGAATTGGGGGTAAACCCCTACCTTCTGCCCAATCCCTTGACTATTGCCCACAGAAGCTTCTTCATTGTTTTGGTGGTACAGAGGTCTTGAGAGGAGCTTGCCACTTTAGGCAATTACTCCATGGGTGCTGATCTGATAAGTCCATCACAGCAGTGCTGGGAGATGCCCGAAGTTTCTGCCTGTACAAACGACTGGCACAACCATTTCACAATTTGTCACTCTGTGGATGCTCTCTTTGTATTGCTTATAGGATGACCAAGTAGGTGGCTGTTCAGAAGATAAATAACAGTGCTGCTGCTGGGGAAGGTGTGGGTGCATGAGAAACCCCAAAGAGTGAGAGTGGTGGTATCTGCTATTGCCCAAGTAGTATGTCTTTCTACTCTGTGCAGCACATCTCTCTGGGGTTGCCCCTCCACTCAGATGCAGCCAGTGAACTTCTAAAAAAAACTACCAGTTACATTTCCCCAAGAGTAACAAACACAGTTTATACAGTGGCCATACTACAATCAGTTTACTAGAAAATTTACAGTGAAGTGTTGCACATTATAAATAACTAGCTATGTAGAATAACCTTTTCACTGTTGTAACTTGCATAGTTTCTCAGTCAAGACAACACTGTTATTCTGGTATTTTCCTGACCAAGCTGAATAGCTTTGCACTACCTCCTGCTTTGACAACTATTATAGGAGAGGTTTGTACATTACAGGATTGAACATATCCACAATAATCTATTAGTTGGAGAAGCTTCCTGCTATTAACATGAAAGGAAACTTCCTAATTTTCATTCTTGGCACTGAAAGCAAATTTATTCCAAGTTGTTTGTTTTTTTTCCCGGCAGAGAGGCACAGTCCTTTTCACATTAGATTTAAGAGTCTCCTTTATATAGAAGTTGCATTATTTTTGCAGGCAAGAAATATGGAGTCCCTCTTCCATTTGAACAAAAGGTGATTATGCATTATTTCAGCCATATGATTGTGGCATGATTTTGATGACATTTTGCTGCAAATCTTCACAAACTGAATTTATCCTTTAAAACTTCTCCAGCTCTCCTCCCAAAATACCTCCCAATGTCACCAATCACCAGCCACATTTTTGTGGCTCCAGGGGATTACTTAAAAAACAAACAAATCGAAGTTTAGTCCTGAATGAAAATGTCCACTATATCTGAATTATGACTATTAGATCATTAAAGGTAGTTTCCATGAGTTTACCATCCCTGCTCAACAAATTACTTTATGGCTGACCCCTAGAAATGTTGGTTAAATCTGGTAAAAAGAACCTACAATTTTCTGGTCAGAATAGTCCCCACTGCTGTATGCTGTGGCCAGTGTTGAGGAACACTTCTCTGCATACCAAGGAGAATGGCCTTGCTGAGAAGCACTGCTGATCGAGATTGTATAGATGCTATCTGTGTAACCATCACAGTCACAGTTATCTCCTTGGCGGCCACCATTCCCTGAAGCCCAGACGAAAAGGGAGCCTTTCCCCTTTCTTCCCTAAAGGAAATGAAAGAGATGATTATTCTGAGTACAGAAGTGTGCACTTTCCCGCAAATGTAATTTTCATGCTCATTTTGTCAGTAAGTATTAATATGTAAGGATGCTCTCTTATTTTGTTGGAACAAAAATGCAAATGCATGTTATTTTGACAGATCGGTGTCTTTAATTGGTACAAAGGTAAACAGTAGATCTACATAGTGTCTATGACATCACAGAATGTTTTTGAATGATCTGAAAGGGAATGGTTAGCCATGGAACAATACAAGCAAGTACATTTACCCTGCATGAATAAAAGGTTAATTTGTCTAAAGAGATCTTAAGATAAGCTCTAATGATAAAAAAGAGACTGGACTGTTTTAAGAGCTGACATCTAAGTCAGAAAGCTGAGGGTGCAAAGGGAATGAGGACATAGTAAAGAGCTCACACTGAATATGACATGAAAAGTAGCATTAATGGATGGAAAACAACAGAAAGAACCTTTCTGAGATCTTTGGCTATCAGCATGGTCCACTCTGAGAGTTGTTGCTGAATAGGCAATAGGCAATACATTTTAATAGAGAAAGCAGGAGCATTATATTCTTTTCCAGTTTTAATAGGGAAAGCAGGCCAGGTTATTTGAAGGACTGCCTTTTCCCAATTTCTTCTGCCCAACCCACCAGATCAGGGAGGCAGGGTATGTTAAGGGTCCCCCTATTAAGGAGGTGCATCTAGTGGGACCAAGAAGAAGGGCCTTCTCCATGGTGGCTCCCTCCCTGTGGAACATAATCCCCGCAGAGATAAGACTGGCCCCCACCTTGATACTTTTCTGAAAGGCCCTGAAGACATGGTTTTGCCCACGGGCCTGGGGATCCCAGGTTGATATGGAGCCCATCAAGTGGTTTGTTTGAATGTATTGCTGTCACCAGGGGATGGGAGTGTAGTGGGGTTATATTTGGGGTTTTATTTCTGTAAGCCTCTGGAGTCTCCATGAGTTGGGTGACCATATAAATTGCTTTAATAAATAAATGAAATAAATATTCTAATGGTGCAAAAGGTCACAAGAGCTGGATAGAATTTCTCACTTGTATAATCAACCAAACGTTGGCCAGCCTCTATGTTGGCAAAGGTAAAAACAGACGTTGCACACTCCAAAATGCATAAGGCCTATTTTCAGGAACTGGCTATGGAGTTCAGATTAATTCATACAAAGCAAAAATTTAAAGATGGTCCATTTGAGGTGTCTAAATCATTTTTTTCTAAGGGAAGACTGAGGACTCACTGCTTGTGGTAAAACATACTGCACTGACAAAAGTCTGTTTTTGTTTTAGATTCCTTCTTTCTAGTACATGGCATGCAAGTATTATTATGGGGAGAATAGTTTATGATCCACGAAGTCACAATTATTGTTTGCAATGAG